TGGCACAGCAGGTAAAGCCACCAGCTATGATGCCACCACCCCATATGGGTGCCCATTTGTATCTTAGCTGCTCTACTTCCAATCCAGCTCCTTGCTAATGGCCTGGGAAAAGCAATTTTTTGGGGCCCTGCTACTCATGCGGGTGACTCAAATGAAGCTCCTGGCCCCCAGTTTCAGGTTGGCCCAGTCCTGGCCTTTGTGGCTATCTAAGGAATGAACTGAAGAATTAAAGGTCTTTCTCTCTCTTTCTCTCTCTCTTTCTCCCTCTAACTCAGACTTTCAAATAAAAATAAACAAATATTTTAAAATTTGAGTTGACCAGACACCCTCTCTATAGACATCAACTTCAAGGAATAGCAGAGTGAAATCATTAATGGTGGGAGTGAAAGCAAAAAGATGGAAGAAAGACCAGCAAGGTGTAGCCCCAACCTGTGTGAAATAAGCTCAGTCTTAGTGCTGTGAAGAAGTCTGGGCCCACATGCAGATTCCCAGCTGCCAACTCTCAGTAAGGTCCCATGTAACATCTAGCCAGACACATGAGCCAAGAAACCTTGGACACAGACACCTTGAGAGATCCAAAGCAAGAGTCGTGGGCTAAGCCCCAGAATTCCCAGAGCCATGGGCAATAGGTTTATGACAGTGTTGGATATTGCAATAATAATGTGACTATTGTGTGTGTGTTTCTTTTTAAAGGCTTGTTTATTGTTTTATTTGAAAGGCTGAATTACAAGAGAGAAATAGAAAGAGATAACATCTATTTGCTGGTTCACTCCCCAGATGGCCACAACAGCCGGAGCTGAGCTGATCTGAAGCCAGGATCCAGGAACCTCTTCAGGTCTCCCATGTGGGTGCAGGGTCCCAAGACTTAGGCCATCCTCTACTGCTTTCCCAGTCCACAAGCAGGGATCTGGATGGGAAGTGTAGAACCAGTGCCCATATGGTGTGCTGGTGCTGTGAGATGGAGAATTAGCCTGTTGAGCCACCGTGCAGGTCCTGATTGTTGCTATTTTTACACACCATATGCACTGTAACACTTGGGCTTTGTAAGGTTCTGGGCTGGTGCAGGACTGGGAGCTGAAGCCACAGGCAGGCAGGTCTCAGAGTGTCTCATTAATCACAGTGAGGGGCCCGACCTGCCCCCACTCGCTCTGGGTTTCACATGCTGTTCTTCCACCAGCTCCTAAGTTTTGGCTTTTAATTCCATTGATTCTCTATCCATTCCTTTCTCTCTGGATGCCAGGCCTGGGAGAACAGTTTTATTTTTGCTCCCTGAACAGGAAAAACACTGAACTTTCTGAGACCACATTGAATGCACTCTACCTGCTGCTCCAGGGCTGTCCTGGAGAGAGGTGATTTCCAGCCTTCTGTGGGGACATCATCCCCATGGCAACCTCCAGCATCTCAGCATCCGGCTCAGAATGAATCTGCACGGATCCAGGATGTATGTTCTGGGGGAACCCCGAATATCCCACCAGAGGGGCAGGTGCAGGGGCTCTGAATCTGGGTGCTACTGGTTAGCACTGTGACCCAAAGCCAGTGTCATAGCTACTTTACATGTCAGGCAGAGGTGTCTCCAGATGATGAGTGCACACAAGCTTGTCTGTCTGTCATGGTCACGTTTTAACACACTAGGATGGAATCACTCAGCAATGAGGACAAGCAACCATTTATTATCCTTTCTGTTGCCAAGTGCTTGATTAAGTCATTTCTATACATTATCTTGTTTAATTCACACAACAACCCTGAGTAATTACTATTATTATCCCTTTTCTTACAAATTCTGAAGCTCAGAAAGACCGAGAAGCTTCTATTTAAGGGAAAAAGTAATGAGACAGTAGCGCTTGAATTGAAATGTAGGGTAACAAACATCATCAAAAATAAAAATAAATAAGCAAATAAAATTTTAAAAATGTAAACAAACACATGGTTTTAAAGGTTTATTCATTCATTCATTTGAAAGGCAGAGTTAGAGAGTGAGACAGTGAGAGATCTTTCATTCTCTGATTCATTCTCCAGTTGACAGCACTAGCCAGACTTGGAACTCCATCCAAATCTCCTATGAGAGTAGCAGGGATTCAGGTGCTTGGGCTGTCTTATGTCGCCTTCCCAGATGAACGAGCAGAGAGCTGGATCAGAAATGGAGCAGTCAGGACTCGAGCCAGTGCTAGTGTGGGATGCTGGCATCACACAGAGTGATTTAACCGGCTATGCCATAACACTGGCCCCAGAAAACATTTTTGTAAGCACTATCAAGCAAGTAACAATCATAATCAAATGCTATTTTGCACCCATCATGACAAAAAATTAGGAAAATGGGTAATTGAGACCAGACATGGAACACCAGAAACTCTTTTATGTGACTTGGGGGAATACAAATGAATTGACCCATTTTGGAAAACAGATTTCTTATAAATTTGGGCAATCCCATATCTCCCTTTTGCTTTGCTTAGACACAGCTCTTACACAAACCTTCATACTTTTATGCCTAGAGGCATGAACAAAAATGATGACAATGGCATTGAGAATAGGAAAAAAAAACTTGTCAGTCAGGAACAGATAGGAGACAGAAGTCACATCAGTTATTTTTAACACAGAATTTAATATCAAGAATTATTAACTAGGCATAAAGTGGTTGAGTGGGTGAAAAAAAGGTTATAAAAAGAACTCAAAGGTAGCAATTACAGGAAGCATCTACCACCCCCAGGGCTGAGGTAACAAAGAAAAGAAGCTGAGACTACTAAAGTTTCAAAATGTAGACAGACTCAGGGTGCTGCACACAGTTCCGAAGTCCAGGAAGGGGGCTGTCCTCTGCTGGGGCTGGGTAGGACCACGTTGTAGGGTAGGAGCTCAGGTTCAGGTTCCAGAGGCGGAGGGACTGTCCATCCCAAGCTGGTGTCCCTGAGCTTTGGGAGGGACCCTGGGGGTTGGGCCTAAACCTTGGAGGAGGCTGGTGCCACAGTAGGTGATGAAACAGCATAGTTTGGTGGTGCTTGCAGGAACTGGTAGCCCACAAGCATCTACAGGTGCAAAGCAAAAGGGAGTGAGGTCTTTCTTCTCCTCCAGCTTTGCTATCAAACCTCACCCTGCCTATTGGCAAAGGCTAACAAAGCCTAACCAGAATCGACTAGTGATATAGATTTGTGGTGTGCAGGGTCCTAGCCCCAGCCTCCCAGAGTAGGTGATTTTTTAGTTATCAAATATTATATAAGACTTGCAGATTAGTCTGACTATAAATTATCTATTTATCACAACCCTCTGCACTCTATCACTGTATGCACCATACATACTTTATCAAAACCATTAAAACAATATTTAACCACAGGCAAATAGATGTTCAAAAATGAAAAAACTATTAATACTCTGACTCTCCTAATGCCATGAATATTAAAAAATTTCAACCCATTTTCCCTGTCTGATCAGAAGATAAAACTTATTAAAATTGTGTCTTCAGCATTGTAACGACAGAGTGCTCTATTACATGAAGATATTTCAGTAATTCATGAACAATGAAGCTAAAAGATGTTTATTGTGGTATGAAAATATTTTTGAAATACATGCATAAATTTTTCATAATATGTGTTTTCCAGGAGGTTTTTTTGAGACCCTCTAGTATGCACGGGTTTCAAAAGCTTTTCACACCCAAATACACTTGTCTTTTAAATTGCATTTTCCATGAACATTTTAAAAGTTTATTTATTTTCATTGGAAAGGCAGATTTACAGAGAGAAGGAGAGACAGAGAGAAAGATTCTCCATCTGCTGGTTCACTCCCCAAATGGCTGAAGCTAAGCCGATCTGAAGCCAGGAGCCAGAAGCTTCTTCTAGATCTCCCACTTGGGTGCAGGGTCCCATCCTCAATTGCTTTCTGAGGCCACAATCAGGGAGCTGGAAGGGAAGTGGAGCAGCTGGGAAACAAATCGCTCCCACATGGGATCCCAGCAATTGTAAGGTGAGGATTTAGCTACGAGGCCACCAGCCCAGGCCCCATGAACTTTATGAAGTCCTCACATAGTATGAGCTTTGTTGCTTGTTGTCAGGGATGTATGTCATTGTGACAGATACTACATGGATAAATGCTGAGGTTTTGTTTTTGTTTTGGTGCTTTTTGGAACATCTGGATATATTCCTTGGCACCCTTCTGGTTATAAAAGAAAGAAACCCTATTTGCAAGAGTTTAAGCAGACAAACATGTGTGGCTATGGGGACTAGTGGTGGAATTTTCTGGTTCCAGTCACTGGAAAGAATGCAGAGGTAACTCACAAAGCTAGTACCTGGAGTAAAGGACTAAAGAAAATCCTGTGTTCCTCTTTTCCATCTGTATCTTGCATGGCCCTCTCTCCACTTCCCTTTGCAGATTGCATCTCTCTTTTTCTTCATCATGGACAGGCACCTGTCATGGAACTTGGGCACTGGCAATCATAGCCCTGTTAACTGTAGTTGTCCAGATAGCAATCTCAGGGAAAAACTGTGATTGGCTCCTGTTGAGTCACATGCCTACCCATTGGGCCAATAGTGTGGAAAGGGCAACTATGAATTATATAATTGACAGGCCTCTATGGCCAAGGTGGCAAGAGGGCCTGTTACTGTCAGATAAAGGGGAGCAGAAGGACCTGTTGAGAAAATAGAAGACAGTCACTGCTCAGGGTTCTGACGTTTTACCACGGAGACCCTTAGTAGCCATTCTTATATATCCTGCTCTTTCTTTGAACAGCTGCCTCTGGGAAATTCCTAAGGATAGGATGACCACCGTGGTACTTGTCAGAGTCATATATGTTCATGGTTTCACAACATTTTCATATCCAATATCTTATTTGGACCTTTCAAGAAACCTCCAATAAGTGACAAAAGTAGAACCAGATATGCTGAGAAGTTGATGGATAGGCTCAGAGACACACAAAGAACAGAGGTAGAGATGAATTCAGAGCTCTAGTTCGCTGATGCTCTTCCCACCACCAAAACAGCAACGTTACCTTAGACTGGGCTGGGCGAGTGAAAACCCAGTTAGGGGAGGGAACTCCGTCTGCTTTCTTCTGCTCGGAGCTGTGCCAGCCGCCTCAAGGAGACAGGTTGGCAGCCCCTGCCTTCAGAGCCTGTCCGAGCCCTGATGGGAGAGTTCCCTCTGCTGGACCTGGCGTCCTCCCAGTGGATGGTCTCAGCTCGCAGCTCCTCCAGGGCACTGTGAAGCTGCCTGAGTGTAAGTAGGAGCTGCTGGTCCTGCAGCTGCATGTCAGCCTAGGAAGAGAAGAAGCTGGTGAACCATGTGCAGGGCATGGCAGGGTGCCTATGATACTCCTTCCCATCACTGCCCCCATCCAAGACAAGCCCGTCTGGGGGTTGTGCAATCTCACAGTACCACATCCACCAAAGCCTGCTTCCTTGTTGGTAGAGCAGAACATGAATGACTTTGTACTCAGGATTGAATAAATGAGAATGCAGGAAAGCATGCTCTGAAATGTGATGTGTGTGACTCCCCTTTCTCCTTTTATCTTCGCTGTATCGAACAAATCATTTTGGCTGTCCCTGGGTCTTCAGAGAAACCCCTAGTGGGTTAGCCCCTACTGGGTTAGCCACTTCCTGTGAGGCAAAGTCGGGGGTGGACTTGGAAGAAAAAAATATATACAGGGAAGGGAATAAAGTCTGACTTCCCAAGCAGACACCAAGAGACCTAGGGCTATAACTCAGGTGTACAGGAGAGTTAGTGCCTGGTAGGCTGGGTTTTTATAAAGGAAGAGAGAGATGGGAGTGAGCTGGACAGATACTGGTCTCTTCATTTTCTCTCTGGCAGGTGCAGTATCTTCTTCAGCAGAGAAGTCCTGCAGGAGGGAAGGCAGCTGCTAGAAGACTCATTCCTCCAAAGCCAAGTCAGTGACACCATGCACAGCCTGGTGTTATGTTGCCTTCACCGCAACTCCCCATTTCCCTACCTGTCATCACTCCAGGCTTGGCCCTTCAAGCACCTGCTTGGTTCTCCAATCCCTGTCTAAGCCTCTGCATTCAAGAAGATCCAGGCTAAGACAGTGAATTCCATGTCTACCCGGGCCAGAACTATCATAGGCAACAACTAGGTACTAAGAGCAGGAGTATACTTCAAAAATTCTGGAAAGTAGAATCAAAACATAAGTTTAGTTTGGTGCTCATAGGTTTTTTTTTTTTTCATGATACATGTTTTCATGAATTAAAAAAAATTTGTGGCAGTGAGTGAAGTTACTGCCTGCAATGCTGTCATTCCATATTTGAGTACAGATTCAAGTCCCAACTCTTCTACTTCCAAATTTAGCTCCCTAATAATGGACCTGAGTGGGCCCAGCACAATGATTCAATGGCTAAATCTTCATGTTGCAAATGCTGGGCAGCAGTCTGTGTCCTGGTTGCTTCATTTCCCATTCAGATCCCTGTTTGTGGCCTGGGAATGCAGTAAAGGATAGCTCAAAACCTTGACATTGGATTGGCTCAGTTACGGCCTTTGTGGCCATTTGGGGCATAAATCAGAGGATAGAAGATCTTTCTGCTTCTCCTTCTGTTCATAAATCTGACCTGCCTTTCCAATAAAAATAAATAAATATTAGAAAATAATAATGTGCCTGGGAAAGCAAGGGATGATGACCACCCACGTGGGAGACCTGGATGGAGCTCTTGATTTCTGACTTTGGGCTGGGTCAGCCTCAGTTGCTGTAATCATTTGAAGGAATTAACCAGTAGAAGGAAGATCTCTGTCACTTTGCCTTTCAAATAAATAAATAAATACATAAATAAATAAGATGCTTTAAAAAATTATCTGTATTTTATATGAAGTTGAAAAGCAGAGAGAGAGAGAGAGAGAAATCTCTTGCTAATTCATTCCCCGGATATTCTCAACAGGTAGGCCTGGGCCAGGCTGACTGGAGCTTGGAACCAAAACCAGGTTTCCCACGTGGTTGGCACTTGAGCTATCACCTACTGCCACTTAAGATGTACATTCCCAGGAAGCTGGAATGGAAGACAAACTGAGAACTCCTACTCTGGTATGGGCTGTGGGTGTCTCAAGGGACAGTTTAGCTGCCTGTAGCAAATATATGACCCCCCCTTTTCTTTAGAAGCAATAGAGATTTTTATGAATATTTTGAAATCTGTCATATACATAAGTTTCAGGTTTTTTTTTTCTTTGCACCAAAATGAACTTATCCTTTAATTTCATTTTCCATGAACTTGTGGGCATATCCTGGTATGCTAGGTAAGTCTCCTCTATGAATCCTTACAGTAACCTTGGCAATCTGGGCACAAGCACTATCTACATTGTGTTATGAGGAGGTGAGACACAAAGAGGCAGAGCCACTCACTTGAGGCTGCAGAGCCGGGAGCTGGGCGTTTGCCCAGGGACCGGCGTGATCCTAAGACCTGTCTGGCAAGCATGGCACCCTGTGCCTCCTATGTAGGCCATGACCTACTTATCCCAGCCCCTGAGATTGCCATTACGCACTGTGTGGCTGGTCCCAGGGGCTGCCTACCGGGCCCATACTCCAGCCTGAATCCTATGCATCAGCCAAAGGGCAGCTGGGAAGAAAGTCCAGGGAACCCAGGAAAATAAGGGAAGAGGGCAGCATCAGGCAAAAGAAATACAAAGCTTACCAGTTCTTTTCTCAGCCACTCCAGGGTCTGCCCGAGACTTGGGTTTGGCTTTTCCGCTGATTTCATCTCAGAGTCCTTGGGAGAGACCTTGACACTGACCTGGTGCTGAGCCCAAGGGACCTTTGACTAGCACAGCCTCCCACTTCCTTCAGGCTGGCAGCAGAGTCTGGCCAAGTCATCGAGGAGGTAGTTAATGAGAGCAGAAAGTAGCTCACGGTGGAAAATGTAATTTGGTCTTTTTTTTTTTTCCCAAGATTTCAGTCCTTTGAACAGAATAAACAGGAGAGAAGGGAGAGAGACCATTTAGGGGTATGGGTGCCCCAGGACCTGCTGTATCCAGAAGCTAGCCAGATCTAATGTCATCAGGATCACAGAGACTATAAATCTTTAAATGATCACAGTAACCATTATCATGAAAACAGGGGCCCCCTTCAGAGAGCCTGATTTTTTTAAAGATTGATTTTTTTTATTTGAGAGGCTGACTCTCTCTCTCTCTCTCTCACTCTCTCTGTCTCTCTCTCTCTCTCTCTCACACACACACACACACATACACACACACACAGATACACACACACATCTTTCATCTACTGGTTCACTCCCGAAATAGCTTGCAATGGTCCAGGCTGGGCTAGACTGAAGTCAGGAGCCAGGAGCTTCATCTGGGTCTCCCACATAGGAACACGGACCCAAGTCCTTGCATCAGCTTCTTCTGCCTTCCCAAGCACATTAATAGGGCATTGGACTGGAAGCAGAGAAGCTGGGACTTGAACTGCTGCTCATAGGCTGTATCAGCATTTCAGGTTGCAGCTTAATCAACTGTGCCACACTGCCTCCACCTCAGAGGAAGTTGTATGCTCTCCCTATCAGATATACATACTCCTCATGTAGCACTGATACTCTTCAGTGTCCCCAAACACTTTTCCCTCTTATTTCCTTCTCTGAACGCTCCTTTTCTTTTCCCACAGCAAGGAGTGAGCACAGCACCCAGGTTTTTCCTTCCCCCAAGGCTGGCGGCACCACCAGCCAGCATGGCCAAAGCAGCAAAGGGATGTGTGTGTGTGTGTGTGTGTGTGTGTGTGTGTGTATGTGTGTGCGCGTGTGCACGTGTGCCTGAGCCTAAATCCTTACACCATGCCCATGATTGTGATATCTGGATTGTTCTGTAGGAGCCTAGGTGCTTCAGAAACATTACATGCACCTGGCTGGTGTTGGAAACGTGATGGTTCAATGGCTAAATCCTTACCATGTTAGCCCTGGGATCCCATAGGGGCACTGGTTCATATCCTAGCTGCTCCACTTTCCATCCAGCTCTCTGCTTGTGGTCTGGGAAAGCAGTAGAGGATGGCCCACAGCCTTGGGAGACTCCAGGATCCTGGCTTTGGATCAATTCTAGCTGTTGCAGCCACTTGGGCACCGAATCAGAAGATGGAAGATCTTTCTGTCTTTCCTTCTCTCTGTAAAGTTGGTCTGCCTTTCCAATAAAAACAAATAACTCTTAAAAATAAAACTTAAAAAAACTTAAAAATTTGAAACATGCAAACAAACCCAGATGCCAAAAGTCAGCCTGATTTCGGGATGAGTGAGAGCAGGTGTGTGGTTGACTCATCAGCTCTGACAGCAAGGCCTCTCTGAGGGTCCTAAATTGATCCGGAAGCCTGGGCCACCTCAGTGTGGTTTCAGGTAGAATAATGTCTTCTCTGGTTTGTACTTGATTTTTCCAAATGTGAAAATGGGGATGACATCATCAACCTCTCAAATGGTTTTGAGTGCTTTGAAAATTATGATAAAACCTGGCATAGTTCTTAGGCACACGGAGCTGTGGTCTGATGTTGAAACAACCAAACCCATGACTTTGACCACAGTCATTAATGAGTCAGTCTTGATTTTCTTAAAATGGGCATAATAATAGCAGCTACAGCTACATGCTAAGGTGGCTAAGATAATTAATATTTGCGAGACATATGTCTGATGTTTGGGGAGGGATATATAGAGATTTGTCAGATAAAATAAACGCACAAGTAATTCATTGCTATCATGTCACTTGGGGACCTTTTCACTGCTGTTTCCTCTTCCACTTGCCTGTTTCCCTCTCTCCTTCCATTCACTTCTCATCACAGCCTTCCTGAACATGACCTGGGCTGTTTTCACAGTCACTTCATGGGCGATGCAGGGCAATGGACTGGATTTGTATTTCTCAAACTCTAGCGTCTCGTGTACCTCCTTCTGAGACAGCCCACCACTTCATCTTTCATTGACTTTTGTGTGTCTGCAAACTGATGATCTTGAATAGGAATAGTTCTTCTGAGAGGCAGACAATCCAAGTCATAGTGACTTATGCAGGAGAGGAGTGCATTTCTCTCACACATGGCAGCATAGATGCTATTGCAGGCTGCTGTCTCTGGCTGATCATCTGGGATCCAGGTATCTTCCAATTTGTTGCCTCGCTATCATGGTCCAAGGTGGGTACTCAGGCTTTAGCCAGGAGGTGTCTATATCCAGGAAGAAGGGAGGAAAGGGGGCAGGGAGAAGGGAACACTCTCTTTCTTGCAGGACATTTGCTGTGTTCTGACCACACCACCTTCTCTGATATCTGCCTAGCTTACCAGCTATTTGATCATCTCTAGCTGTAAGGGAGGCTAGGAATGGAATCCTTGTTCTGGGTGCACTGTGCTAGTTACTGAGCTAGTCCACATTCTAGTCCAGTGAAAGAAATCTTGGAGAAAATTAGCAGACTATTCCCCACACTTTAAACAATGTTAGATATGATATCTCTGGATTCATGAGCAACTAAAACAACTTTAGAACTTAGTCATGGAAATGCAGATATACACACAGACATAGTCCCCATGCCTCCAACTATTCACACCCTTGTGCAGACCCCTCCTCCTGAGACTTGCAGATTTGATAGAAGGCAATAGGGGCAAAATCAGCTCAATGGGGGGGGGGGGTCTTTGCTTAAGCATCCAGGAACTTCTTTTCATGCTTTGAGGACTTTATAGGAACTCTGACTGTCTTGAGACAGCCATTATGTAAGGAAGCCCAAGCCTACAAACAAACCTCACTGAAAATGAGACTCAAGACCACAGATGAACGGTCAGGCCTGCATTTGTCCAGGCAGCTTCAACCCGCTGTGGCTCCTCAGCTGACACTATATGCAGAACTGAGCTTTTGCAACTGAAAGCACCCTAATATGCAAAAGCATGAACAAATAAGTGATGACTTCCTTTTAAGTTACTGAGTTGTTGTAGTGGCTGGTTACACAGCAATAGATAACCTAAGCACATGAACACCTAAAATCCACATGACACCTAGAATTACACTATGTGCCACCAGCTTTTGGAAAATTCTAGATGAACTGATACTCTGATATTCTTCAAGAGGTCCTCACTCCATCATAGATCACAAGTCTCCATTGTTCATGATTGAGGATTAACCATGGGTAACGATGACCATAATCTCCTAAGTGGTCTGATCTCTGTCTCAACTCCTGGCACCAGTGAGAGTTTGAGGGAGAATGCTCTCCTTTGACTGAATAGCTCCCTGCTTATCAACCCCTGCAGCATCCCCAGGGGATCTTTTCAGGTTCAACTACATACTCAGCCTCCACAGGGGAGCATAAACCACACTTGGCAGTGATCTACCCTAAAGGATACAGGACAGGAATCTCAGCTTTCTGTTGTGGCAGTCCATTCATCAGGTATTGCTGCTCTGGGCCACAGTCTCTGTTGCACCCAGCTAAGCAGTGCCACTCAGAGGCAAGATGAATCCCCAGTGGGTGGACACAGGGATAGCCCTATCTGGAAAGCTCTGGCTCGTGGGAGTCAGTATCTTTGGATCTGCCCAGTTTCATGACTCACTAAGCTCAGGAAGCCCACAGTTTGATCCCCCTCCAGCTATTTATAGCTCTTCCAAACAACCACTCCATTTTTTAAAAAAAATGCAAAATACTCTTACATTCTCAGAAAAATTGGGGAGAAAGTACAGAGTTCTCATGTACCCCAAACTCAGTGTTTTCTGTCATTTAAGATTTACCTTAGCATGATACATTTATTACTATGAATGACCTATTTTGCTATGTTATTGTTACAGTTTGTACTTCATTCGAATCTTTCCAGCTTTCACACAATGCCCTTTTCTGTTCCCAGACGCCATTTGGTTGTCATGTCTCCTTCAGCACCTTTTGTTTGTGACAGCTTCTCAGACTTTTCTCGTTGCTGAGGAGCCAGGACAGGTGTCTTTGGATGGCCACCTAAAGCCCTCAGGACCCATGCTGTATTGATCGCAGGGACTCAGGTGGACAGTGAGGCTGGGGGAGGTGGTGGGGGAGGGGCACGAAGTCTCCCATCCCCCATGTGAACCGATCCCTGGACCTTCAGGAAAACCTCATGACACCCCACACTCTTCAGATCAAACCTTTGTGGGCTTTGTCTGTCCCCCACAACCCCCAGCAGAAAGCATCTCCTTTAACTCGGCAGAAAATAGAGTGCCAGCCATCCCTCCACGGCCACCACCCTGAGTTCTCAGGCACATGGGTCCTCTTCTCTGGGAGTTGCCAGTCTGATGGAAGAAACTGACCAGTAACCAGAAAGGCACTCTTGTCAGAGATAATATCAATATTGCAGGCAAAGGCGCTTGGAGATGGAGAAGATTCTGGGGGGAGGTGGTGTGAATGAGGGATTCCCCCTTCCGCCCCGACAGGCTTCCTAGGGGAACAGGTACTGCAGCTGGGCCTTGAGGGGAGGTGGGGTAGAGCAAGCGCTATCCCCCAGGGCAAGAAGGTGGGGTGCGGGAAGAAGGCGCTTGTTCTCAGCCTTTAGATGGCGTCCTTGAGCCAAGCAGCTGCACGCGCCCGAGGAGATCGCCCAGCCCTACCGACCTCGGAGAATACCTGAGTCCAACCTGGAGCTGTGTGTATGCGTGTGCGTGCGTGTGTCTATGCGTGTGTGCAGGGGTGAGGGCATCTGGGCCTGGCGCCACAGGGGCTCCCCAGCGGCGGGGAGAGGCAGGAGGCGGGGGAGGGTCTCATCCTCCTGCAGCCCCCCGTCCCGCCCCGCCCCTGCGCGCGGGGACCGTGGGCTCCCGGCTCGGGTTCCCTAAACCCAGGCGCAGGCAGCACAGACCTGCCCTCCGGGGGTGGGGAAAGCTGGACGCCTCGGGCTCCCCCAGCAACGCCCACCCAGATCCATGACCCGTCATCGTGTTCCCCCCCTGGCGCTAACTCTCTAGGCGCCCTCGCTGGCCGCGGGCGGAGCTCGAATCCGCCGAGCCTGAGAATCCCCGGCCCCCTCCCCTTCCCGGGTCCCTCCCTTCCCAAGCCACCCCCCAGCCGCCGCCGCCGCGGAGCAGCCGGGCGCTGCGCGGCGCGGCGCGAGCAGGTACGTGCGCCTCCCCAGCGGCTCCGGGCAGGGCCGGGAAGGAAGGGGGCGGGAGCCGAGAGAGAGCGAAGCAGTGGCGGCTCCGCCGCAGCAGAGACCCCCCGCGGGCAGTGCACAGCTGCCAGGAGGCGAGCTCCCCGGGGAGGACGCACCCTCGGCCGCCTGGCGCCCTTCGCCGGCCGCGTGGGAGGCAAGAGAGCGAGGCCCCGCACAGGTACGCACGCGGGGCGGGACCTGCAGGGGGAGGACGGCGGGAGGCCGAGGGCCCGAGGCGGGGAGGGGCGGCGAAGGACAGGGGCCTGACCTCGCGGTCCGCCGAAGGACACGCGGCCAGGGGGAGGGACCCGGGCACACCTCGGTCCCCTGATGCCGAGCCCGGCCTCCCTGGGGTGCCTAGCCGCTCCACTACGGGCACCGTCCTGCGGGGCCCGGGGCGGCCTGGACCGGCCCGCGGGGTTTGCGGCCAAGGGCTGGAGCGAGGAAGAGGGGTGCTGGGCCGGGGAGTAGGGGGCGTGAACTGCAGGCCAGCGGGCAGCCGCGCTGCTGAGGCTTTCCGCTGGCATGGAACTTTGGGTAGAGCAACGGGGACCTGCGTGTGTGTGTGTGTGTGTGTGTGTGTGTGTGTGTGTGTGCTCTCGCGCATCAGCGCGCCCCGGGGCTTTGTGTACAACTTGTGCCTGTGTATGTCTCTTGGGGTTTGGGAACCATCGCTCCTCCCAAGGCTGTGTGCCCTTTTCTCCACTGTCAGGGAGTGTGGGGTGGCTATTGGGCCCTTGAGGTCTAGGAAAATCTGTCTTACCCGTTTTAGTGCCAGTTAAGAGGGTGTGTGTGTGTGTGAGACACAGAGAGAGAGAGAGAGAGAGAGAGAGAGCCCCCTGGGGTCTGGGTACCAGTGGGTGCAGTTGTGGGAGCGGCTTCTGAGGAGAGTGAGCGTGGCTCAGGGGTGGGAGCAACACACTTGGCCCATTGTCCATTTCTGCTTCTCTCGGGTGTGGCCACAAGTAACTAGTTGGTGGGATTCCTAGACCCCCTACCTGAGAAGCAAATGGGGCATTCAGACTTGCCAAGAGAAGGGGTCCCCCTGTTCTCTGCTCCCTCACTCCCACATCCTAAGGAAAAAGTTTTGGGTTCCAGTCAGGTGAAGAGGAGCCCTGCCTCCTGGGATTTGGATGTCCTGATCTGCAAGCAGTAGTGTGTCATTCTGGACAAGGGGATTCTGGAGCCACTCCAGGAGTTGGATCCTGTGCAAGGTGCTGAGGATAGGGCTGGGTGGGGCATCTTGAGCACCCACATGGCCCTGTCTGTGGGCCCTGTTTGTGACTGGGCACTCAGCACTGGGACTCAAGAACCCAACCAGCACAAGCTTTCTCCTTCTTTTGAGTGAGCAAGCCAGGTGGTACTCTGACCTGTTCCTGCCCCCACCTCCACCCCGAGATGCCCATGGTGGCAGTGAAATGGGTGGATGCAGAGGAAGGTCACAGAGGAGCACTGGAAGAGCTGGCTGGGGCGGGGGGTGGAGTGAAGTCAGCAGCCCAGGAGTACGGGTTTTCAGGTTTTAGGTGACACTGACTCTTAGGGAAACCTCAGTCAGTTGCTGACCTCCAGGTCCGCGTGGCAAGAGGAACTGGGTGTGCAGACTGCAGGTGGCCATCCTTGGGTGAGGGTCTCTGAGGGCTGTTTGAAATGCTCCCCATTGGGATGGACATTGGAGCTGGCAAGAAGTGTACGTTCTGTTGGGAAGGAGGGAGATCATAGTGACCTGGGGTGGTAAGGAGAGGCAGTACTTAGATGCGTGGGCCTGAGCTATGCCCCAAAGGGTCTTTGGTGAATCTACATTAGGGGAAGGCCAGAAGGCCGGGGAAATGTGCCATCCTGTGTTGGGGCTCTTGGAGCATCCTTCCTTCCTTCACTGTACCCAGTCACTGTACCCACTTGCCCTTCATCTGCCCATGTTCACACACAGAAGCTTGGAGCATGCACTCAGAGAGTTTGGTCAGCCTTGTGAATGCAGAGGTCTATGTGTGTGGTGTGTGCATATATCTGTGTTGTGTGTATTGTATGTGTGTTTATTTATGAGTGTGTATGTATAGATGCATGTATGTATGTTGTATGTGATGTATATGTATCTGTTGTGCATGCTGTGTATGTTGTATGTCAAGTACATGTATGTGTTCTGTCCACCCATGTTCTGTGGTATGTTACATATGTGTGGTGTGTATATTTTGTGTCATGTATGTGTATCTCGTGTTGTTTATATATGTGTGCATTTATTGTGCACACATGTACCTCCTGTGTTGTTTACATGTATGCATGTGTGTATGGTGTGTGCATACAAGTGTTGTGTATGTATGTGTGTGTGTTGGTATGTGGTATATGTGGACACAGCCCAACACAGAGTCCCTTTTGGCCTGGTAGGCTCTGTGCCACATGTGGATCGTGTGCCTGGGCCTTGATGTGTGTATCCTGAGGGCACCGGTGTGCCTGTGGAATGGCAGATTTCTGCTGTGGGATGGGGGATTGCACGGGGTCCCCGCTGACCTCTAAAGGTCACCCTTGCCCCTTTGCAGCAAGGACTTACTGCTCTCACTGCTGGCAAGTTTCTGACTCATCCTCTTAAGTTCAGCTAAAGTGCCAGCAAGCCACAGAAGCTTCCCGGATTTTCTGTTTGTTCCCATGACATTATGGTCATTGCCACTGTATTCCTCCCCCACTCCCACCCCATCCTAGAACAGCAGTCACTTACTAACTCTGCAGGCTCTGTTCATTTGATGAAATCCTCACAACCGCTTCACGAGGGAGACATTTTTTAAATTCCCATTTTACAGGTGAGCTCATACTCATGTAGGCTCATACTTATGTAGATAGAAGTGGGATTGGAACCTGATGGCCACTCTGCTTGCATTGTCCCGGCCCTGGTGACAACAGATGCTGACTGGGCGCTTGCTCTCTGAGCACCGAGGGTGTTCTATCTCTGTCTCTACAACAGTCCTGGGAGGTAGGGGGTAGTAGTGTGTCATTTTACAGGCAAGTAAACAGAAGCTCAGGGAGGTGAGGTGACATTCCAAAGCCACACAGCAGCCAGCGGTGGTCAACAGTGGGTGGGGGTGGGGGCAGAGACCCAGCAGGTGGGAGAGGTCTACTTAGTGCAACTGACTTATGACTTTGTCTTCCAGCTGCCGAGGGGCCAAGGGATGAGCTGGGGCCGTCCTTTCCAATGGCATCACCCCCTGGCCTGGAACTGAAGACATTGAGCAATGGCCGCCAGGTGCCAAGGAGACCAGCTGCCCTGGGCCCAGGTGCCCCGCCCAGGGAAGGCGTGGAGAATGTCTGCTTCTTTGCGGAGGAGGAGCATGAGACCTGCTTCCAGAATGCCACAGAAGCCAGACTGGGCCGCTTGCCCAGTCCCCAAGGGGATGTCCCTTCGCAGTCCCGATCCCAGCAGGACGATCTGTCTACACACTCGGAGGAGGGCCTGGGTCTGGAGCCTGTGAGCCGCCCAGTAGATTATGGCTTCGTTTCTGCCCTGGTTTTCCTGGTGAGCGGGATCCTCCTGGTGGTGACAGCCTATGCCATCCCCCGCGAGGCCCGCGTCAACCCGGACACTGTAACGGCTAGGGAGATGGAGCGACTGGAGATGTATTATGCCCGCCTGGGGTCCCATCTGGACAAGTGCATCATCGCGGGCCTGGGGCTGCTCACGGTGGGTGGCATGCTCCTGTCTGTGCTGCTGCTGGTCTCTTTGTGCAAGGGCCAGCTCTACCGCCGGCCCACCTTCGTCCCTGGCTGCCGCAAGACCTATGGTTCCATCAACCTGCGCATGAGACAGCTCAGTGGGGATGGGGGCCAGGCTCTGGTGGAGAATGAAGTTGCCCAGGTCACGGAGCCCAGCCGCACTCTTCAAGGGTCTTAAATGGAAGCCCATAGCACTCATATGGCTACTTCCGTTCTGGGGCAACATGGCCCCCAAAGCCTGGGACAGTTTCAACCGATTCCCACCTCATCCCAACCTGTGGGAGAAGTCTGGTGGCGGGTGGAAGGGAAGCCCCAGGGGTCTGTCCCAGGCCCTACTCTAGGGGTTGGGGGAATCCCTGGGATCTGTTTTGTACCTTGTGGTTTTGCAAAAAGGCTTTGGTTGGAGGGTGGCTTCTGCTGCTAAAAATACAAAAGTTTGGAAACTGCTGTTCCTGGAAGTTGAGGTTTCTGAGTTTGAGGCTGGGGAGCTGTTGGAAAGGTAGTGGCCTGCCATGTGGCACCTCTGCTGTCCTCTTTAGCCAAGCCATGCGAGAGTGTTGGGTACCCTTGCCTGGGAGGTGGCTTCATGAGGGGAGGACATGCTTGTAGCACACCTATGACTCTTTTCTAGCCAGGCCTCCGTTGCTGTGTCTGCATGGAGTCCCTGCTTTGAGGGCAGGAGGGAATCTGGTAGGCACTGATCATTCTTTATACCACTTGCATGTCCAGCCTTGGCCTTGGTGCCCAGCATTTTCAGCCAGCAGTGGCCTTTAAGAGCTACAGAGGTGGCTTGGGCTAAGTCCAAAGTCTTCTACAGCCTGGATTCAGTCTTGGGGTCTACTTTCCTGAAGTGATGGATTTTGCAAATTCAAATGCACAGTGAAGGCTTTGCTATTTTGGGTGGACAAGAGTCTGGTCTTGTTCCCCTCCCCCTGCCACTGAGTGTCTGAGCTCTGGCCTCCTACAGCCACAGAACAATCCAAAGACCATCCTTCTCCACTGGATAGTGCAACTCAGCCACAGGTCCACGTGGGTTGGACTTGAGCATGTCCTTGGGCCTGGCCCCTTTGGCCACATTGGTTGCTGCTTGTTCCCATTCATTTGTGAAATATTCCTGGTCTCTTCCTGGGCTCTCTATAAACCAGAAAAGGAAACAGGAGCTAAGGGGCAATGAAGATCCTGGTGTTTGAGAATGGAGGGAAGGAAGGAAGCAGCGACCTGTCCTGGTGGCCCTGGATATCTTGGCAAGGCCCTCCAAGGTTGCTGGTGTGAAGTCTCAGGACAGGGTCCTTCCAGGAGGCCTTGATGCAATGCAGGCCGTGCTTCCTCCATCTCAGCTGGCTGTGCAGGCTGGGGATGCTGACTATGTGGTGGGGGTGAGACGCTGAAGGTCAGGGAGCTCGTGGTCTGCTGCGGCTTCATTACTGGTAACGTGAACCTCAGCCCAGTGGCTTGAATGTCTGGGTGGTGCAGTGTCACAGCTTCCCAAACTGATCAAATATCTGCTCCTGCCGGCTGGGAGCAGAGTGTGGGGAGACAGCTGGGGGTGGGTGCCAGGCTTGTTTGACTCTGCAGGTGCTGCTGAGATGTGGAAGGGGGTATAGGAAAAGAACCAAGCCCCAGGGTGGTACAAGAGTCCCACGTTCTGGGCTCTCACTGGTGTGTCTGTCCCTCCTTGGCCACAAGCAGAGCAGCAGCAGGAAGCGAACGCAGGCTTTTTCAAATCCATGAAGAAGCTGACGCCAGCCTTCAGGGATCGCAGTGACAATGGGGGCTCACACGGAGATGGAACCTGTTGAGTGCCTGCGTCAGGGGCTGTCAGTTCCTATAAGGTTAAAGGTACTGGATTGTGTATAGGGGCTGAGTCTGTTACCAGATTAAATCCCAGAATCTTGGGCTTTCTTCCAGCTAGGGAAGCCTGATTTGCATTCTAATGTGGAAATTCCTTTAGAAATGTGGATCGTGGATTCAGGCAGTCATTACCTTGTCAGGGAATTAAAAAAAAAAATCAGAGAAGTCAAAATCATTTCCCTAGAATTGCAGTTGAGGTCTCCCAGCCAGCAGGTCAGAGCAGGTGTAGAAAGCTGTCAAGGAGGAGCATGGGGCGTGGTTGGGCTGGGAACTTGGTAGATTTCTCCAGGGGCGAGTAGGTTTGCAGTCACCCCAAAGGACCCCTTTGTGGTCATGGAAGACCCCTGAAGCTTCCTTGCTTTGTCTCTGGACAGATTCCAGGTTTTGGAGTTGGCAAGACCAGGATTTGAATCCAGACTTGGCCATTTTCTATGTGACCTTGGGCAAGTTATTCTACCTCTCTGAACCTGGGTTTCTCTGTTTGAAGTGGGATTGGTGAAAACTCAACCTAACTCCCGGCATTCTACTCTAACTGGCTTGTGTCATAGCCCCATCCTGGAAACAGTGTTTGATACATAACAGGTGTTCATGATTGAGGAATGAATGGGTAAATGAACGAATGCAGCACATTTCAAGGCCCTGGCTCCTGGAGCCCCTCAGTTCCTGCACAGCTTCTGGAGTCCTGTCTAGAGGTAGGAATCAGTGTCAAAGCAGAGTTGAAGGAGCTTCAGTGTCACTGCTCCCTGTAGCTGGAGCTTGGGGACCTGTCTGCCTTTCTGTCTTGGGCCTTGGTCTCCTAGTGAAGGAAGACTCTCCTGCAGCCTTTTGAGGACACAGGCAGGCTTCAGGGATGCCTGGGAGACATATTGGCTGGGTGTCTAGGAGCCTGGATCAACAGCTAGGTTTTCTGGGTGTCTGCCCACACCTGTACTTTGGGAATTCCAGAATCCACCTCACAACAGTCACTTAATCAGGCTTCCTATGAGTCTCCTGGCTGGATGTCTGGCATCCCACCTCACATGTTCCCTTCTGGAAACAGGCATTCCCTTCCCTGGGGTTCCCGTTATGATGTTTCCTGCCTGCTAGTGTGCCACACATGCACACATCCATACGCACATACCTGAGCATGCATACCGGGCACACACCCAGACATGAACACAAATTCCATCCCTGACCCCTCTCAGAAGCCAAAGACACACATTCTTGTGAAGCAGCCCCCAAGGAAGAGCATGCTTCAATGTCTCTTTCTGCACTGGCCATTGGACTTGCTGACCCCAGCATGTCAGCTTTACAGCCACCTCCCTATCTCCCCTCTAGGGCTTGGCTGCTGCCTCTATATCCATTCAGCACCACTCCTGCCCCTTTGCAGATAAGGGAGAAGTCCACAAGACTTTCCACCCTGGAATTTTGGGAGGGTACCATATGGTCCAGGGCTGTGGTCCGGACCAGCCTGTTGCTGGTCATTCGTTCTCTGTGTGCCTGTGGGCAAATCACTCCACCTTTCTGGTCTCATAGATGCACATTGAGAATCCTCCAGCTCTATCTTCTCTGTGGAATACAGGGCTGGGAAACAAGGATCTGCGAGTTCTCCAGAGCCGAGTGCATGGGGCCTATGACTAGAGAACTTTGCAAGGGTGGAAGGGGGAAGGGAAGCAATAAGACAAAGCCATGAGAACTGGGGTCCTGTGTTAGAGTTCTATTATGGGATAGTGAGGTGCAGTGGCACTGGCCAAGTCAAGGAGGTGCCCTCCAAGCTGGGCCTATTGGTTTCTCTTGGAGAGGCAGGTATCAGCTGGGGAAGAGGCTTGGGCTGCTGCGGCAGGGAGCACCCTGGCAATGTGTGTCGGGGTATGTTAGCACTTACTGGTCAGGTGTTGGAAATGCTCAGGGATGGGTAGGATCTGGCCAAGAAGCTCCCCACACTTCTAAACCACTCTTTTGGGGACAGCCAATGCCACACAATGGCCACCTGCTGTCCCCATACTAGCTTATCCATGGACCAAGCACCCTGGTCTCCCTACCGTTCCTCTTGCTGGGCTAGACTGTGTCTGAACTGATGGCTAGGACATCACCATGGTGCAGATATGGCAGGTGGCCGCCTTCCAGCTCCTGGGGCTGTTTCTGAGCTTTCTCCTTCACCAGATAGCAGAGGGATTGGAGGCAGAACCCTTCACAGAGGGCTTCCCCTGGGGGTTGTGCAGGAGATCCACAGGCAGGAGTACCGCCTCCAGAGGCCAACTTCCCAGCTGCTTGGAAGTTGCTTAATGCTTCCTTGTGTGTCTGGGAACAGTGATGCTAACAGCAGTGCCTTCCCCATAGGCTGAGGCAAGCAGAAAATGAGCTAGCATTTGTAAAGCGCTTAGCCCAGTGCCTGGCTCCTCACAGTTGCTCTATAAATGCTGGCTGTGCAAGCAGCAGCTACTCTGCCTTCCTTCTGCAATGGGTGCTCCATGTCCAAGTGGGCCGCGGGACATGGAAGGACAGTGTGTGTGCTGCCGTGAGAGATGCAGGATGGGCTTTGTGTCTGCCCAATCTGTGCAGAGGAGGTACCTAAAGGAATGGAGTCAGGAAATTTTTTCCTGGAAGGAGATCTAACAGGGGTCTCAGAGGGCAATATCTGAGTGGGAGAAGAAAAGATACCAAAGGCAGAGTGTAAGTATACCAGCAGATGCTCAGAGGCCTGCTCCAAGGCTGCAGTCTGCAGGTGGTGTTGGATGTGGAGGTCAGGCCTACTGAGGGCAGGGGCTTAGAGTAGGGACTTGTGTTGCATCTTCTGCAGCATCGGTCCAATCAGAATACTCAAGTCACAGGGGCATTACACACATGGATTTATAGGGAGAAGAGTATGTGGCATGTGTGAGAGGCATCTGTCAGCCCTTAACATTGCTTGCAGAGGTGGGTAGCTGGAAAATCTTGTGGTGTCTGATGTCTTGTAGCAGTGACCTGGGTGCTAGGGAGGCCAGTCTGTGACACCATGGACTCTAGCACCCCAGCTGTCAGCTCCCGCTACAGACAGAGGACATGACCTTGAGCTCCAGGCCTCCCTCTCAGCAGCCCAACTGGCCTTGGCCTCTGAGTAGTCAGAATCAAGGTAGCAGCAGCAGCTGCTCTCCTGGGCCTTTGAGGGAGCAGGGGAAGATGAGTGGAAGGAAACTCAGACTCTGGCTTTTCTGGCAGAAAGGCTGGCCTCAGGAGAGCAAGATAGCAGGAGAAGGCGGCTGCCATGCCTGCATCGTACTGGGTCACACAATGTCTGGGCTGGTGCTGACTTCTGGCAAAGGGCATTCAGTGAAAGACATCCTTTCCCATCTCTTCCCTCCACCATTCTCTCCGTCCTCCCCTCCTCTTTGTGATCACTCTGTCTTTGTCCTTCCACTAGTAGGGTCAGGCACCCACAGGTGAATGGTTGCTATTGCTGACTCCCCTGCCAGCTGCCAGACTCCCCTCAAAGTCCCTGCTCACCCCCCATCAAAGATGAAAGCAGAGACTCAAGTGCAAATGCCTGCAGACCTGGCAGGTGACATTGATGAGTGTGGCAGGTGGCTGGGGACAGCCGTGGCAGGATTAAAGGGGGCGCC